AGGGCGCGCTCTAGAGGATTTCCTGCCGCCTTCTCACGAACCCACACATTCACGTCGGCCGCCAGTGTCCTAAAAATGCGCAAGGCCTCGTCGGGCCCCCCCTGGATGGCACTGCGCAGACCAGATCCTGCCGCCAACGCGAAACGGACCCTCCACCAGGAGTCAGACGCCAGCTTCGTCATGATGGGCAGGCCCTCCGCATTTTCATCCGCCCAAAAAAAGACAGCCCCCTGTGGGGGCGCAAGGCTGTGAAGGGCCTGCTGTATGCTGTCATGTGCACATTTTCCTCTGCTTCCTGCTTCCTGTTTACTGTCTGCTAGGGGGCCCGCCGCGGCCTCAAACAACCAACGGGGAGGGGGGAGGGGCTCAAATTCCCAGCTGTTCCGGGCCACCCCAGGGCTCCCATGGCAACGCCGACGCGCGGCCAGAACGGCCCGAGAGGCCTCCAAGATTGCCCGAAGAGGCTCCGAAGAGAGCCCAAGAGGCCAGGACGGCCGAAGATGGCCACAAGACGGCACAAGAGGCCTCCAAGAGGCCTCCCAAGAAGGCCCCTCAGAGGCAACAGTCAACGATGCCCCGTTCGTTCTTTAAGGTTTTTGGCCTTCTCGCCCTTTCTGCCTTTCGACGCTCCGAGACAAACCAAGAAGTTCCCAAGATCACCCCAAGACGGCCCTAGAAGCCCGCAGGACAATCCAAGAGGCTCCCAAGACGGCCCCAAGACGGCCGAGGAGGGCCCCAAGGCGGTCCAAGAGGCGGCGCAGACGGCCCAAAAGGGCTCCAAAACGGTCCCAAGAGAGGCCCAAGAGGGAATCCACGAAGCGGAAATTCTACCTTTCCGCCCCGAGGGCCCTAAGAAGGCTCCAGAAGGCCCCCAGGAGGCCCCAAAAGGCATCGAGGCTGTCCACGGTTCCCTGGCACCAGCGAGGGGGGTGCGCAGGCATGAACGTGCGAGTCTCCTGGCCACGTTCTCGCGACATGTCTGGCACAGCTGCGGCGGAAAAGGGGCGGCCTGCTACACGTGGAGGAACGCGAAATCCCCCGGACGATGTGTGTCAAGAACTTGCTGGGTACGCACCCCGAGTCGGGGAATGGCTTGGATTGTCTCATGACTATTGCTTAGCTGTACATGTCCTCCGACGCCTGAACATGGTGTCCGCGGGGGGTCCGCGACATCAGCGTGGGCTCTTGCTACGCGCGGGCAGACGTGCACTTGCCATGACGATGTGCGTCAACAGCAAGCTGGGTACGCACGTCGAGTGGGGGAATGGCTAGCTGCATATCGCTATATACCTGCCTTTCGCTTGTCCAGTCACCGTGCCTGGCTGGCGGGTCACGCCTCATGGATTTTGATGCGGAACTGTGGCATATGAAGGGCCCTGGGGGGGCAATCCTGAGGCTTCTGAAGCCTCTTTGGCGCAGTCTTCGGGCCTCTTGGGGGCTCTCAGGAGCATCTTGGAAGCTCCTTTGGCGCCTCTTGGGGTTTCTCGGGTGCCTCGTTGGAAGGTTCTCGAACTCTGGGGAATTTCTTGCGGGCCTCGATGGACGAGAAACTCGTTCGGTTCTGGGGCGCCTTCTCCGGCTCTCCTTGGGTTCGTCTTGGGGCCTTTGAATTTGGCCGTCTGCGGGTTGGAGGCCTCTTGGGCCGCGCTGTGGCGGTAGGGGGTCTCTTGCATGGGCCGTCTTGGGGCGCCAGAATTTTGAAGAAAAGCACAAAAAATACCAAGGCAACATTCAACGACGTTGGCCTCTCGGGGCCCCCTGGCAAGGCCTTTTTTGAGGTCTCCTGGGCTGTCTTGGCGGCCTCTTGACTCGTCTTGGGGTAATCTCTGGCGTCTTGGAGCGCTCTTGGGGTGTCTCGAGATATTTGCTCGGCGTCGGCTCTGGGGGATGGCGTTGCTCGTTGTCGCCCCTCTTAAGCCTGACAGGATCGCAAGAACCAGTGGATTTGGCAATCCCTGGGCACCCAAGAAACTCCTTACGAAACTCCTCCCAGGATTGAGGGCGCGCCCAACGTGCCGAAGCACGGTGGCGGATTACGTGTGAACCGCGCATGTCGTCTGACGCTTGAAAAAGGCAATCTGCGGGGGACCCTGGCGTCAGCGCGAACTCGCGTGCACGCAGCTTTCCATGGTGGGCACTGTTTGCGTCTGCTCCTGCGCCGCGGTGGGTGAACCATAGCAGGCGCGGAAGGTCGCCGTGAGCTGCCGTGCAGCGTTGCACGAGACATTAGTTTTGAACACGTCCGTTTCACGCAGAAAACAATTTGCTGAACGGCAGTTCTTTGTCATCAGGGCACGTCTTCTACGAGGGGTGCGTCTTGGACTTTCCAAGGAGCTTTTGTTTGGGTGGGCCTTTGGCGGTGCTCTAGGGTTTCTTCTGGCCTGTCGCGGGCCTTTCCAGGTTCCGCATTCGAAAATGTTGCCTCGCCGCCCTCTTGGGCGACGGCAGGGGCACCGTTTGTTTCTCAATGCGCCGGTTCGTCGGAGGCTTCTGAACCATCCATGGGGTTTGGCTGGGCGGCAACAAATGATGGGTTGCTGCCGTCGCGATTACGGTCCTTTCGTCCACGTCGTCAAGTTCTGAAGCACACCTGGCTGAACTCGCATCCGGTGGAATTCCCACGGAATGCCAGAAAGGATTGTCTGGAGTTCCAGGAGCAAGGCGGCGCGGCCTTTCCATCGGTGACGACGTCTTTCTCCTTTTCCTCCTCCTCCTCCTCCACCTCCTTCCCCCTCCTCCTCCCCTTCGTCCGCTGGACGCGCCCCACCTCTCCCTCCCTCGTCCTCGCCGTCGGCCTCTTCTCGCACCCAGCAAGATGAACTCGCACCCGGCTGATCTCACACCCGGCTGAACTCGCACCTGGCTGAACTCGCACCCGGCTGAATTTGCACCCGGCCGAACTCGCACCCGGCTGAACTCGCACCCTGCTGAATTCACACCGGGCGCTGAACTCGCACACGGCTGAACTCGCACCCAGCTGAATTCTCACCCAGCGCTGAACTCTCACCCAGCTGAACTCGCATCCGGCTGAATTCTCACCCATGCAACGCCAGAAAAGCAGCGCCAGAAGGGATTGTCTGGAGCTCCCAGAGCAAGGCGGCGCGGCCTTTCCGTTGGTGTCGACGTATTCTCCTCTTCCTCCTCCTCCTCCTCCTCCTCCCCCTCCTCCTCCTCCTCCTCCTCCTCTTCCTCCTCCCCCCCTCCTCCTCTTCGTGCACTAGCGTCGGTCGTCCCACTCCACCTTTCCCTCCTTCGTCTTCGTCGTCGTCAGCCTCCTACACGCGCACTCAGATAAACTCGCACCTGGCTGAACTCGCACCTGGCTGAATTCCAACCGTGTCTGGAGCTCCCGGAGCAAGGCGGCGCGACTGAATTGGTCATTTTTTCTGGTCATGCCCGTCCGCCTCCCCCTCCTCCAGTCACCTCCTCCTCCTCCTCCTCCTCCTCGTCCTCCTCCTCGTCGGCCTTCTACGCGCACCCGGCTGAACGCGCACCTGGCTGAATTTGAACCCAGCTGAGCTCGCGCCCAACTGATCTCGTAGAACTCACACACGACGGACTTCTCATCAAGAGTCTTGAGTTCCCGGAGCAAGGAGGCGCGGCCTGTTTGTCGAATCGTTATCCTTTTCCTTCTCCTCCTCCACCTCGCCCTCCTCCTCCTCGTCCGCTGGCGTGGACCCTTTCCGCCTCCCCCTCCGTCGTCGTCGTCGTCGTCCTCCTCCTCCTCCTCCTCCTCAGCCTCCTTCGCGCACCCAGCTGAAATCACACTCGCATCGGCCGAACTCGCGCCGGCGAAACGCGCACCCGGCGAAACTCGCACCTGGCTGGCATGCGAGTCTGGGTTTGCTCTGAATGCGATTTTGGTCTGGGTGCGAATTCAGTCGGGTGCGAGTTCCGTATTCGGACCTGAACTCGCACCCGCTGGGCGTGAATTCAAACGCTGGAAACTCACACCCGGCTGAACTCGCACCTAAAATTTCACACCCATCGGAACTCGCACCTGGCCGAACTCGCGCTGGCCGAACTCGCACCTGCGAAACTCGCACCCGGCGAAACTCGCACCGGGCTGAACTCGTACCCGGCGGAACTCGCACCCCGTGAAACTCGTGCCCGGGGCTCCCGCTGCAGGGGTGGCGTCGGGTGGGAATCTGGTTGGGTGCGAGTTCGGTTGGGTGCGAGTTCGGTCTGGGTGCGAGTTCGGTCGGGTGCGAGTTCGGTCTCGGTGTGAGGTCGGTCTGGGTGCGAGTTCGGTCCGGTGCCAGTTCGGTCTGGGTGTGAGTTCGGACGGGTGCAAGTTCGGTCGGGTGCGAGTTCGCTCCTTGTCCCCAGAGGCGCTTAAGAGGCCCCCAAAGGCTGAAATGATCTCCACAAGGCGCTAAAACATATTCCGAGAAGCTCCAACACTGACCCGAAGACGCTGCCGAGAAGCCTGCCACCAGAAGCACCGACAGGACTCTCCACGCGGCCGCGCGCACTAATGATAGGGGGGCTGGCGGCGGAGGGCGAAGCCCTTAAGATCCGCCACCGTGCCCTGCGGCACGGAGTGGGCGCGTCTTCAGGTCGTCTGCCTCATCCCCAGAGCCTTAGTCCCTGAGCCGCAATCCTCAACCCTGAGGATTTAAAGGGGCCAGAGCCCAAATTGCAAAATCTCCCGGGGCGTGGTTCATCTTGTCGCGTGACTTTGGGAGGGCGTTTTTTTTGACACCCCTCACCAGGATCGTGGCCCCCGAGCGCGAAAATTCTAGCTCCCCGCCCTAAGAGGTCCCCAAGAGGCTCCAAGAGGCCCCAAGCCCCCCAGGGGCCCCAAGGGGGCCCCAAGGGGCCCCCAAGGGGCCCCCAAGAGGCCCCCAAGAGGCCCCCAAGGGGCCCCCAAGAGGGCCCCGAGAGGCCTCCAATCATTCTCCCAGAAGCCCCAAACAGGCCAACCGCGAGACCCCAACCAATATCCGTGAGGCCTCTGACCCATCAACCAGGCACGGTGGCGGATGGGCCGAAGGCCA